ACTGTGACAAAAGGAAAAGCAGTAGTTCACCTTTAAGTATTCCATGAACAAGTTTATATTCTAGGAAAAAAAATCAAACACTGCTCTTTTGCTAATGAATATATAAATTTCTCACCTGCTGGTGCAATGAGTCGTGGGAGATAGAGTGTTCATGGAAAACCTGGCCCACAGGTTGAAACTCGGGTATCGGGGTGTAACGCTCCAGGAGCTGCACTGGGGTTGGGGCCAAGTATACCTGTCTGAGGGTGGGATTGTTTTCTAATTAAAAATTGACAGTAATATGATGCATCTCTAATTCAGACAGTGTCAAGAACTAAGAAATTGTAGAAGTGGTTAAGGCAAACAGGTCTTAACCAGGAAGACTGGCCAGGATTGGTGCTGTTAAGGGCAGATTTGCTGTAGTTGCAGCAGTGTAAAGTCTCTGGGGGTAGTATGTTTTTGGGGGGGTGCTTCTGTCTATTGCTCTCCTTCTCTTGAGAGCACTCTGATTTACTTTTGTGATAAAGCCACAACAGCAGAGGGATCACAAAGCCGAAATGAGTTTCGCTGGAAGGGATACATAATGTCAGCTGAAAAATAGCGCTTGTTAAATATGTCTTTGCCATGGCTCAGCAAAAGGCAGATCCTGCCAGCTAATCACCATTCTGTTTTCTAGGAAATGGCTTTTAGTACAGCAGAATCATATGTTTTTTGCCATTTTCAAAAAAAAGAAATGGTTTGTCTAGGGTGCTGTTTATGCGTTTCTGACAAGCTTAGCATGACTCGCTTCCAAGTTTTTGATACATTTATCTTCTAATGCATCTTTGACATGGGAAAGTGTTGTTAGCCCCTACTGAGGTGAGGAAGTGAATTATGTATAAGGCTATATCTATATGTTTCTTTGGGTCCTAGGTAAGGAAGTATTTGTTATTGTGGGATGCTAAGTGTGCATCTCCTCAGTCTATCTTATCTGCCCTTGTAATGTCAAGGCCCTTCTAAATTGTGATACCCCTACCAGGAAAAATGGAATATATGGAGTCTGTGAGGCCCGTTGAGGTATGCCTGTCCTGTCTGCATTCGCTGTAGGTAGGTGGTTGGGTCTATCCTAAGGGGCAGACTATGTCCTAGCAGGACACTCAGATTTCCCAGAGGTCACCTCAAACCTGTGATGGAGCCGCATATTCGTGTCCAAACGGTGTGGGCCCGTAGGGTGCTTAGGCCTGCATCCCGACTGTAGTATAGATGGAGTGTGAATCCTAAATCCTTGAAGATACAGTTAGACATCCTGGCTTTCATTAATAACGATTAATGTATTTTTTGCAATTTGTATTTAACTGCCAAATTTTGAGTCATCTTTGAAGATGGCTTATCAATACTGGTACTGGGCAGCTGAAGCTGAACAAGTATTAGCACATAAAAACACTTCCATCAAAACCTGAAGTCAGGATTTTGTAGATGTTTCGGGCACCTTCAGTAGCTGTTAAAATTATGGACAAGGGAGAGATTAGCATGTTGTAAAAGGAATTCAGAATTTTACCAAAGACCAAATTTAAAACTATTGCACCAGATGCTCTTATTTGTGAAATGCAGCTGGGCTCTGTTTCTGTTACACGTTAACAGTGTTTGCTCTGTTCAGTTCCAGGGTCAAGGTGGGCTGCTGCGCCACAGACAGTCATTGCCTTTGACCTCTGCTATCTTAATTGGACAATTTCCTACAAATGAAGAGACTTTATATGTGGCCCATAGGCTCTTCATATGGCGCAAAAATTTTTGGTATTGGAAGCGGCAGTGAAGTTTCCAAAGCCACGAATGAGTTTTGGATATCAGTGTTTTGTCTAGGCTGCAGACTGTAGCAACTGTGGAAGCCAAGCTGCTTTCTTAGAAATGTAAATAGGACATCCTAAATTAAACATTTTAGAAGAAATCTGGCCATGTTTTTTCTCTGCCTGTAAATTGAGAGAGCATGATAGTTTAATACATTGTAACCTAAGAATTTTTCATATGAACAGTACTGTTTCAGTTTTCAGGATAACAGTCTTGCCAGAGGAGATGTCAGACAATCCTCCTGTTCTTCCTTTTTTCGTGTTGAAGCACCAAACCATATGGCAAATTAAGCCTGATTTTTATTAAAATTTTCATTGTACAGAGCTTAGTGTAAATTGGGAAATGCACTTTCTTTGAACTATGCAACCATTATATAAGCATCTTAATTAGGAGATGTTAATGTTCTTGTTATATTCCTACCGTTCCTGGGAGTATGTAGCTCCCTCTTGTGGCCAAATAAGCATTTAAAAAAAAAAAAAACACACTTTCTGAAAATTACTTCTTGTGTTACTACTATTGCTCTTGAACAGATGATGCAGTGGTACATGGAGCATCTGTGACCTGGGCTTCTTATTGCTTCATGGAGCATTAGTCTCTGCACTACCCAGATGCACCGATGCTCTGCTCGTCTCCAGGACAGCTTGCTGTTCTGCTCCCTGCCTTGCTCCGACGAGTTTCCTGCTTGGCAGGATGCTCCTTGGAAGGCTGCAGCAGGACACAGGAGAGACTTTTGCGTCTCCCTGCTCCAGAATTCAGTGGGGACGTATCCTGAAATTCCTTCTTCCTGGATAGATAGGAGAAAAGAGTTGGCATGTTCTCGCTTGCATGGTGAATGTGGCCACTTCCTAAAGTTTTAAATAGGCTGAATGGACTATTCAATCTTTCAGAAAAACTCTACTTTCTTGCACCTCCATTGGTATTATATGCTGTATGTTGGAGAATGGTTGCAGCTAGAGCCGCGATGAAATATGGGATGTGTTGTAGCTTCAAGGGGTGCAGCTCTTTTAGGCTTTGCAGTAGGATATCTTGCTATCCAGTTCAAGGTTAAGTTCTTTGCCAGATTTGGAGTTGAGAGGAAATTTTCCTTCCAGATGGTTTGGCAGGGATGTTTTTGTTGTTATTATCCCCTGCTTTTCTATCTAGTATGAAGTATGACCTGTTTATGATTATCTGGGATTTGTCTAATAAATTACTTTTGCACAGTATTGATACAGTCCATGATTTCTCCTACTCTTTTTTTCTGTGGCTTTTTATGACTGAGCTTTTGGCCTTTATTGGGTCTTAAATTTGCCATAAGGATTTGGAAAGTGTTTGGCTGTGGTGGAAAGGGCTGTTCTGTAGACTCCTCTGAATTTTTTTTCTTTTTCTTTTTTTTTTTTTAATGCTGGCCTGTAGCTGACTTTGAGGCCTTTCAAACCACTGTTCTTGTATTGGATGGGAAGGTGCACTTATCTTCCTTGTAGTAAATCTCAGAAATCAGGGCAGAGGAAGAGCAATTCATCTTTTTCCTGCAAAAGTGAGCAATGATCATGTTGTCGTAAAATCGTAAACAAAACTCTATAACACATAATGAAACACACACAGAAAAACACATAATTTTAGGCTCGATATAAAAATATCAGAGCCGGACCCAAATGAACTGAACACCAGGGAACTTTCCGGTAGCAGCCATGAAGTTTCAGTTTCATCACAAAACCTGAAGTCACAAAGTTGGTTTGCCTCTTTCCACCTGCAGCGTCAGCCGCTTCCCTGGTTTGTCATGACATCCTCAAAAATACATGAGAAGAAAACTGCATCCAGTAGTTTTTGTGGCTAGGAGGAGGGGAAAAGAAAGGTGAAATAGTTTTTTACTTTGAAATTTCTTCCTTCCCCAAAGGGTTTGAAAATTGAAACTTTATCTCCAAAACCTCTGATTTTTTTATTTCGTATCTTGTAATTAAAATAAAGGAATAATGATTACGGGGTTTAGTCAAAATCTCACTGCCCAGTAATCTGCACACCAGCTTTGCTGAACCCACAGCAATAGGGCAACAAACACATATTTCCTCAGGGACATTATTAAACTCTCTGCATATTTATTATCTCAAAATGGGAGCGGGTCCAGATTTCTAATACCACTTTTTCCTTCCTCTTCCTGAGCTATGATTCAGACCAGCATATAAATATTTGACTTAATGTTTCTGCGGAAACATTAACAATATAAAATTGATAGGAACAAAAGAACACGAACCAGCGGTGGGAAGGAATGGCTTGGCAAGACTGTCGGCTTTAAAGGGCAAGATTAATTTATAATCCTTCTAGATTCTGGCGTACAAATACAAATTTGCAAAGCATGTATCTTGTAACAGACGTTGTGTAGCTCTGGAAGTTCACATAAACTACTGTCACTAACGTGAGACAGCCTTGAAATTGGATTTTTAGGGATTTTTTTTTTTTTCACATAGGGGAACAAGTAGTGACAGTAAGAAGGAATTTCCATGCATGCATGCACACACGCGGAAAATGGAGGAAGTCCAGCTGAGTGACTAAGCTAAGTTCTGGGCAGGATATGCAGAAATTTTTATGAGGAGTTTTTCCCTTGCTTTAAAACCCTGGGAAAGAAGGGAATGAGGGGGAGCACACCCAAAAGTGCTCTCTTTGAAATGATTTTAAGATGACTAATGAAAAAGACTGACCAGCTGGAAAATAATGTCTGATTGGTATCTAACATTAACAGCATTATTAAGGTTGTTGCGAAATAAGTATGTTTAATGCCATTTAGTGGAATGTCTTTTTAAGTTGTTTTTCTGGTTTTTTTTGTTTTTTGATTTTTTTTTTTTTTAAGTTTGTGGCATTTCTTTCTAGCTGTTTTATCAATTTAACTGGAAAAAGAAATAGAGTTAAATAAAATGTCAAATTCGAGGCACAGAGTACAGTAGCAACGGAATAATAGAAACTTTAAATCCTGAGATGGAAGACAATAAAGATAAGACAGTAACTGGCTAAGGACATGACTTGGTCCTTAAGCTTTTGCAGGATTTAGCACAAGAATTGCCCAGTGTTTTCTGAATGATAGAAACCACTTTTTATAGCTTCGTGTTATTGGCAGGGACTACACCTCCGCATCAGGTAAAAGATTAAAACTGCATCTATTGGCTTCAGAAGATTTTAATGTGTTTGCTGATGTGGCCTGTAACTTTTTGCTTTCTGCCGTGCAGGTCATCAGCAGCGAGGGGACAGAGGGAGCAAAGTTTCGACTCTCTGGTAAGGGAGTAGATCAGGACCCCAAAGGAATTTTCAGGATTAACGAGATGAGCGGGGAAGTGTCCGTGACCCGAGCCCTTGACAGAGAAGCAATCGCCACTTACGAGGTGAGTGCTCGTAGCAGTAGCATCTCTGCCTCTATCTTAATGATGCATTTTTCGAACGCGCGTGTGCTTTTGGAAGGGCTGCAGATGGGATGCGTCGAAGGCTAACTTGAGAACTACTGTCCTATAAAATTTCCCGACGAGCCGTGTGTCCTTTGGAAACTCTGAATGGGTTTATACGTGCAGTCCAGCTCTACTCCGCTTTCTGCATGTCGCTTCTGTCATTTATCTTTAGTAGAAATACTGTCTGGAAGCTGCCTGTGCGTTTGATTTGTGAATACAAAATGGTGCTTGGACAAAAGGTGATCTTTTGGGGAGAGGGGAATGCCACTAAGGTAGTGACATGCTTACGCTTTCCTTTCTTTTATTGTCAAGTTGTCGATGGAATAAACTGTTCTAGTTCATTTTGGAGTGAGGGATATCTTTTAAAACAGCTGCAAAAGACTCTGTTAGCAAGAGGATGTTAGCAGATACGCCTGCTGTGCACGTATTCTATAAAAATTTTACTAAAGGCTGCTCTCCTTATCCGTGAATGTTAGTTTTTTCCCCACTGAAATTCTAGCAAATGATCTTTGAAATCTTAAAATTACTGTAGCACAGTTTCTTAAAATACAGGGTATAAATAGACGATATGTCAATTCGTATTTCCCGTCTAGCTCTTGGAAATGCGCAGGCGCATAAATTGTCTGGCCATTTTGGCATATGTTAGCAGCAGGATTCAAAAATACTGAACGGATAGTAAATTTGCATGTTGCCACCACTTTCGGAGGGCAGCGAGATTCACCCCGTGTCCTGACCCAGCAGGGAGCTGTCGGGGCTCCAGCCCACCCTGGGCTTCGCCTCTGGAGACAGCTCTGACCGTTATCCCCAGCCTCCTAGTTATCCTTTCCAGCGTGTAACAGTCAATACTTGGGCTTTCAACACCTGCAGTTTCTCACCTTATCCACAAGAGAGTTTGCCACTTAGAAGACTAGTCCTGCTCGCTCAGAAAGCGCTGCTGAAATGTAGCATATGTTGGTTTTTAATGCTTAAACATCTATTTCTCATCTGGGGCTACAGTGAAATGTGTGCTAACCACTCAGGTTGGATTTATGTTAATGCTGTCTCTCTTTAAAAAAAAAAAAAAGAAAAAAAAAGAAAAAAAATGCAATTTCTTTAACACTGTTGCTCATCTTAATTTTCCAGCTGTTTCTCATTTTATTATGTTAGCTTTCCACCTTAATGTATTCAGTATAAACATTGACTATTTTCTTTCCTTTTCTTGCTGACAATCATAGTAGCCTTTTCAACCTAATGCATAAAACCACAAATGGCCCTCCTATCTGATCTGGCAAAGCGAACGCTTAAATTAAGACAAAAAATGTTTCCCTAGAGGAGCCTTTTTTGAAGCAATGCAAATTATAAACAAATAGTGCGCTGTAGTAGATTATCCAGAGCATTGCAAATGTATATCATAATAGGCTGTAGCGCTTTCTAACCTGTTCTGTAACGCTCTGCTCGGCATGCTCCCTGGCATCCTGTTGTGCAAACATAGTTGAAAAGTCCTGTCCAAGGAGAACCCTCAACATGATTAGTCAGTCTTTGAATCCAGCCCATTGTTTTTCAATAAAGATATATCAAGGTGTCAGGAAAGCAGCAGGATTTTTGCCTGATTTCCTTGGTACACTGAAAGATGAATTGCTGGAAAGAGCCTTAGGTTTCTTGCAAAGGTGTTTTGATTTTTGAGTGTGTCCCCCTCCTCCCCCTTGCCCCAGCTGCTGTGTAATATTGATTTCCTTAAAGGAAAAAATGCAAAGGAAATGTCAAAAAAATGACAGAACAGACCTCCATGAAAAAACATAAGTTCTTTCCAAACCATCATACAGTTGGGTATATAAGCAATGGCATGGCAAGGATAAAAAGATGAAATCTGTTTGATTCCTTCCAGCTACACTGAGGGCTTCTGTGCATCAGCAGTCATTTGTTTCCTATTCTTAATTCATATAAACTCTCAAGGGATGAAAATTAAAGGCTATATTAATAGGGCACAAGATTTGCAGATTTTACAATCAGTGTACCTCAAAACTTTTAAAATTAGCTAAAAATGTTTAATCCATTCTAGAGATTTTGTTGTTGTTGTTTCTTTCATCAAATGTTTGAACATCTGCTTTTTGTTGTCCTTTTTCTCCTGGAGGATTCTCGAAAAACCTGTAGGATGTTTTTTGACACACATTACAAGAGGAAACATGATTAAAGTAGAGGAAATCTGAATTCTACTCATACTTCGAATTGTGTTTATTTGTGATAATCTTTAACTTTAGGTATTTTTGAAACACTTGTGAGAGACTATCTTTGTTAACGAGTCCGTGTGAGCGTATCAGGTTTAGGTAGTTTAGGTCTGTCATAGCATTCAACCTCATGCAAAAATGTCTAGCGACTTCTGAAACTCTCTTCCGTTTTTATGTTGTTGTGAGAGAAGGAACCAGGGTAAAAACCCATGCCCGCAGGGAAAATCTGGGGAAAAGTATTACACCAAAGCCTTTTGTTAGGATACTTAGACAGGCGCAGTGTCCTGGGACAGTTCCAGCTGAGCTGTGATTTCTGATTATGTTAACTGAGAAAGCAAGAACAATTATTTTCCAAAAATATACAAAGTCCCTTTCTCCCTCAATGTTTTTGTCTTCTGTCCTCCCCTCTTCCCACTCTTTTTATTTTCAGTAATGGATTTTAAAATAGAGTATATATAAACTCTCTATATACTCTCTATATAGAATATATAAATAGAGTATGTACCTATATATAATATATATATATATAGAGAGAGTATATAAATAGATAATATATAGAGTATACATATTTTAAAATAGAGTAAAGTAATCTGTCTGAGAGTCAGGGCCTGACAAAGACCATTTGCTGCAGCTCAGTGGCATGATGGTTGTGTCGTCACATGAGTTTAGATTTGGTTTGATAGCAAAAGAAACCAAAGCTGGCAGAAGAACGTGAGGCAGCTACGCTAATGACCTGGCCCCCTTGAAACGGGCATATTTATCTGATTGATTTATGAATTGGGTTTTATGAAATTAGTTAAATTGTTCAAAAATAGGCAAGTATGTTAAATTCCACGAAAATATTAATGTCAGATTGATTGATTGCTATAGTGAATCTGACCTAATCATTTGACCTTTTGAAAATGTGATGGTTTCTGATGAGAAAATGAAACTGTGTCACAGGTGGGCAGAGTGAGACAGCGAAAGTCCAAAAGCCAGTACACTGAAATTAGCCATTAATGATTATTTTCCCTCATGTATATGGAACTATGCTAATGAAATCCTGTTGGCCAGTGGAGACAGGTAGGCACTTCTGGTGTGCTCGCCCCTGTAACGTTGTGAGGTGCCTCCTTGAAGGTCAGAGAACGTCAGTCAGTTTTAGTTTTAAGTGGATGCTTTTACAAAGTGCAAGCGGATGTGAGGATGTTGTCATGCCCAGCAAATAGGCTGTTTCAGAACAGTGTGTGGTGATTCAGTTTTGCCTCTAAAGAGGTTTGAACTCTGATAGGAATTCTCTGGATGAGAGTAAACTGGTGGATTTACTTGGAATGGTTTATTCTTTGGGGCTTGCTACAGCCTGTTGATGAAGCTGCTAAATGATGCTCTGAAGAAGGGGCTTAAGCAGACTATGGGCATATTATTGAATTGTTTCTGGGTTTGCAAGATAAGCAAATAGCTTGGAGCCTCTGTTTACTGTGAGCAAAAGAAGTTCAATGGTAAGAGTACGGCCTAAAAAATACTGTCTTTGGTTTTCTTTCAAGATGTTAATGAATAAGCCTAGTTGGAAGTTTCAGACAATAGCAGATCACTTATTCATTTAGTATTGAAAAGTGCAGATGTGTCAAAATAGATACAGGAATTTCGGAGAGGCTTAGGATCGATATTCTAGCCAAATCAGTGAGCTGCACACTGATCTAAAAATAGCCAATAATCTAGGCAGTTCTGGGTTCGTTTCAGATCCATAGTCTCTTCTGAATCCAGCAGAGCAGGAATATTTGCCTTTATCTCAGTAAATGGCTACAAATAGGTTATTAGTTTTTGAAGGTAAACCCTGTCCTCCTGTTGGGTGAGGAACAGCAGTGGTAAGAGGGAGCAGGGGAAAAGGAGAAGAGGGGGAACGTAATGTTTGAGAAACTGTTGTTGTATCTGAACATTTATATCCAAACTGGGCCTAAAGCACCAAGGACACATTCAAACTTGGGCAATCTATCTTATATTAGAGACAGTGAATGGATTCAGGTGTGGGAGTGTGGTTTGGTGCTCCTCTGACCCTGCTGA